TTAAAAGTGTGTAGGTTCGGATTTGTTCGAGTTCGTTAATTTAAAGAAAAGTTTGGTTCGGGATCGGTTCGACCTTAAATATTATGGTTCGTAACATCTCTACTTGTAATATTAAGTATAAAATAAAAATTATATTTTTATAGCTTTAATACTCAGCATTTTGTATTATATTTTTAATTAAACAAATCTTTAAGTTCTGCTTCGAGAATTAAATGAGTTAACTTGTGGTAAATTATTAGATACATAATGTATTCACTTATTTCTCGTATATTTGTATAATCTGGTTTTATTATAGAATAATACTGAGTATAATACTACATAATATGATACGAATAATTGTTAAAAGGTATTATTTTTTATAGTGAAATTCTTTGATGTCGTATAATATTTTTATTTTAAATCAAAAAATAACTTGAAAATATCGAATTAGTCCTATACTTAAACTAGTTTTACTATTTTTAATATATAACCAGTAATCAACTTACATATTATTTATATTTATTATTCTGTTTTAATTAATAGCTTTATATAATTTTAGTAGAAACTATATTATGAAAATAGAAAAAATGTAAATTAATAAAACGAGTAGGTACTTATTATTTATTAATTATTATATTAAAATACAATTTAAAAATAACGTTACAATTATTATACATTAAATTTATATCTTACATTTTAACTGAACTCATTTAGTATAATATTATTGGTTCACAAATCACTAGATTACATAAACATTTTATTTAAGCATTCATAAGTCATTTTAACGATCAATTAATATTCTTATTAGACAGTTGAGATTGGAGTACACGAGTTCTTGATTTTATCAAATCCCAGTCCAAATAACCACCAATCAATAATCTAGATCCTTTATATCCTTTTCTTCCGTGAAGTACTCGATGATTATCAAAAGTTAAAATGTCTCCTTGAAATAAAATAAATAAAGAGTTTTAAATATAATATGTTATACAAGGTTATGCATTTTAAAGGTATAGACATGCGTCTTATTTTCTAGAAATGTACCTATAACAATATAATATATATTATGTTTTATTTTAATTTGTTGATTGATAGCTATCATATTTGATTTCATACTCGTAAGCAAAATAACTTTTTGAAAATTACCGTCATAAAAATCAAATCTTAAATAAATAGTTAATTACCTAGTTATCGTATATTAACAGTATTTAAAGTTTTTATGAATGGAGATATGTGACATAGAGATACTTCGCAAAATGTTGATTCACCATAATTGTAAAAAGTCTTAAGTTAAGTTAAGTTAATATACAATTTTCAGAAAAATATTTCGTTTTGGAGTATGACATTTAAAAAGTAAATGTATCTTTTTTTCTTAAAAAAGTACCTAAAACTTAAGACTAGTACAAAAAGATATTGATATATAAATATTATGTGTTACACTTTACTCTATTGTATATCACACGTATCGTAACATTACACGTATGCCACTATAATATATTGGTTAAAACATAAAATAGATCAACAACAAGATATATTTACCGGGTTTCATTTTAAAAGTGCTGATGATCTTTTCGTTGTACGCAATCTTTACAAATTTTTCGATTGCATCATACCAAATGTGTACTTTATCTACTGATATAGGAAATTTTGAATCTCTATGATGCTCACTAAAATTGATTCTCTTGACATTCCCATAATTGTCTTCGCTATATATGAAAATAAAACAGAGCATGAATAACTGCTTTTGATAAAACTGCAATGGTTGCTTGGTGTGGTGCAGTCATACACTCAATAGTAGAAATGCTGTGAGTGTACCTACGCACTGGTTTGTGTTGCTAGCTCCCGGATGGGTGACCACCCGAGTTTTTAGCAACAAATCCTTGCTACATATACAACACGTGTTTCAAATCAACGCGTTCCTYACAAACAGCTAATGGCTCTAGTTGTAGAGCTTATAATCAATAAGAAAAAAAATTACAATGTTTAAAACATGCAYMATACCTAAAAACACATTTCCAGTTAGTTCTAATAAATTAAGAACAGTATATCTTCGAGTCAGTGTATGTGTCATGTGTGTTTAAATTATTATTAGGCACCTAGTAAGAGAGCTGAATACTGATTATTTATTAAGGAGTACCTACTACCTAGTGTGTAGGCAATATTAGATACATTTTATATTATATTATTGTATTATTATATTATATTATTTTATTTTTATTTTAATATGTAGGTATATTAAAATCTATAAGCATAATCAATCACACTAAATTATAATTTTGAACAGTAGCTGCGAATAGAAAAAAATATGGTAAAGCATAATTATAACAATTAAAAAAAAAACTCGAAACTCGACGTGTTCTGTATAGTGGGGAAAACAAGCGTTTAAATTGGTTATAGCAATAATTAACTATAAAAACTGGTAAATAATTCTCCAGCATATAACTGTAGGTGTTGATTGTACCTCGRTATTGAGTATGACGTGTACTGTAATGGATGTGTGAAATTTGAATTCAATGATAAATAATTTAGTTCATTTAAATATTTTGAAACAATTTCATTGTGTAATGTGTATAGTACCTAATTAACAATGTACATCATAGTCTAGAAAAAATTTAAGTTTTTATCAGTGATATTTTTTTAATTACAATTAAATAATTAACTTCGCTATTTTTTATTTAAATATAAAATTGTAATAATATAAATAGGAACTAAAATTAATTATTATACCGTCGATTTACAGTTTAAATTAAATTAAATAATAAATTATTTACACACAATATTTGACCATAATTCTATTATCTAATCTCTAACGCTAATAGCTATCATTGTTCTATAAACGTAGTAATAATATAATCTAGTTTAAATTATTTTACAAAAGTCTACGATGGAGGCTATAATAATAAATAATAATAATAATAATGGTTTTGACATGACACTAACCAAATTATGGGTGAGATGTAAACGTTATGAAAGTTGTAGCCGCCGTCGTGACCACGATCAATCCACCTCACTGGCACCGTGGTCAATGTCTTATAGCAGTCCACGTCTATTTCCTTCAGACGGTCGCACACCGACAGCCCATCGGYCACTTCAGATTCACCGCCACTAGACTCTGGTTGAATGATGCAGTGCAGCAAAATCACCTAATTTCAATCAAACCGAATTGTCTGATAATTCATAATTAACCACTAAACCATGATGCAGAATAATGATACTAGTATATTAAAGTTTGTTTATTTCTATTTATGGTTTTTATTTTTTGAAAATTACATCCAGTCATATTATTAACATTTATGAGTATCGTACGTACTTTTTTTTAATGCTTTAGTCTAATATAATGTTATAATAGTAATAGTTTTAAAATATATATTAGAGGYTATAATAGCACAAGGTGAAATGGCAAAACGCATGGAATGCTAGTATTTAGATGTGCAAAATTTGGAGCAGAAATCATATAGGAACCATGACGATATCCTTAAAATATAAATGTCATTATTTGGAAAATAAAATATAAGTTMAGTTTACGATACATACTTAATATAGAAGCCTATGTTTGGAACTGCATGAATGCTTCTCCAATATAAAAATGACCATCTCTTTTCTGTTAAGAAAAAATCTTAGAAAAAATTCATAATTTCCTGAAAGAGTGGATTTTCGCTAAAAATATTTTAACGGCTGAGTAGTAAAAGGATAATTTTCCAAAAATACAAAAAATAAATTGAGATAKCTATTTTGTTGTTGAATGTCGAATTCGTTTAATGCGTGTATAAAGAATAATATTCCATTGAAACTACGTTTGTAAATTTAGCCTTGAATTTTCACTCATTGTCGTACTAGCTAGAATATTTGGTTTATTTTCATCTATTTTTAGTAATACGATGATAACAACGACAATCGTAAGATTGTTTTTGATAATATTATTTGATAACCTTAATAATGAATACAAATATGATGTTATCATTATTCGACACGCAGTTGTCATAAATACCATTTGTGCTGTTCCTCAAACAAATTTATATTTCTTTGTATGACGTTAAATAATACATTAATACGTTTTTAAAGTGTGTCATAATATAGTTATTAATGTTCTTCAATTCAGAAGAAAGTATTACTGAACCAAGAAGAAAACGTAGCAAGCTTGATAAATCCCAGCCCATAAAATAAATAGAAAAATCGTTCAGACAAAGAGGAGAAAAATTTGTTACAAGTAATGGTAATCTAATAGAGGCTAGAGTAACASGTCCTAACTACGACTGTCGTAAAAATKTATGATTAACTTCACTGTAGAAGAAAAAAACTCTATAATTAGCGCAGTTTTTAGCGGTCGTCCTAAAAATGAAAGGGATAGGTATTTTTTGGGGCTTATAGATAGATTTGACGTGCGTATAGACATCGAGCTTTATCGTCCAAATCAAAGCAAAACACGTCTTCTTTTAAATACTATGCTATAAAAAATGCTAGTCGTGTTGAAGTCTGTCGTAAATTATTCATGAGACTCCATTCAATGTCAAACAAAGTAATTCAACGTTTGAATAGATTACGTGAAACCAATCAGTCACTTGTTGATATGAGAGGAAAACATAAAAACTGGGGAAATACATTAGACCTAGAAATAATCTGTAAAATCCACTATCATATTTCATCTTTTCCTATAGAAGAGGCACATTATATATCATTGTGATTTTTACTACGAATTTAAATGAAATTATAAATAGTGCATGTGTTGAAAAGATAAAAATAAGTTATTTTTTTAGTTTCATTAGTTAGTAGTCTAAAATAAGCGCATTGTTTTTGGTAAGATTAAACTTATCAAAATCTTCATTACATTTTTTTTTTATAAATTGTACAAATATTTGAGTTCTGATTTCATTATTTTGCAGTATTTATTTATTACTTTTTAAGATCATTTTTAAAATAAGTAGGTATCAATTGTCTATTTTTAATTTTTAGTTTTTCAGTGGATCGAGGAATGTGTCAGTTTGTATGCATTGTATTGTTTCTAGTAAGACTGTCTCAATGGTTCTCATTTCATCTGCAGTAACTCAATTTATTTTCAACATTTTGAATCAATTTTAGACTTTCTACAAGATAAACACTTCATATTTTTATACACCTGATGGTATCTATTATGCATTGAATATTTGATAGAACTACCAAAAGTTGATTTTTGATAGAGTTATTAAACAATTGTTGTGCATTTTGTATAGACTTTGACGCATCATTTGGGTTAAATGCGTCTGATTGTTTGAAAATTTGTCTTTTATAMATTTTAAACAGTTAAAAATATTGGTTTCGTTGAATTATTGAAGATAAAGAACCGATTATTATATTTGTTTTTATTCGGTTGAATTATATTTTTCAGGAATGTCGACTATTGGCAAAATCGGGTAATGTATATCAAATTTTGAATACATTTTGAAATATTTTATTGAGTATTTATTAAATATGCCAATTTTATGGAATTATCTAGAAATATGCAATTATTATATGCATTTTGATACAAATATGCAAAAAAAAAAA